AAGTAATTTACTTTTAAGTACGGTTTTTATTTTGGTCATCATTGGCTGCACACTTGTCTCTCCATCAGACTGGTGGTCACTTTCACCTCCATATTTCTCATTTTCTACTCTCCTCTTTTTGGGTGCTTGAAGACCCTCTTCCAGCAGAGCATCCACATCGTTATCAAAATCATCCTAAAAGAGACATGGTCAGATACCATGCTCCTATAGGTACTACCCACCCCCCACCTTCCCCTGTCAAAGAAAATGGTAACATTTGGGAATATGCACGTCCACTCATAGACAAACTAGAGAAACCAAACACTCCCAGTAAGAAAACTGAAAAATAAGAAGGTAAGCTTCCTACACAGTCACTGGATTAGTAACTGCTGTTTTCATGACAAACCGAAAGAAATCTACATATACCAGCAGCCCTTTACAGGTCTATTATGATTGCACATCATAAGTCTGGCCCCCACAAAGCAATTTCTGAAGTCTTCTTTACAGGATTCAAAATGTTTAATCATCAAAATAACTTGAGTTATGCTTCCAAGATATCACGTGTAATGGACAAATGTCAGTGGTTTTGTCTTGGGGATTTTTGCATTTGTGTCTTCAACAGTGCATAGTTTTAAGACAGGCAGTGTTGGGAAGAATCTTTGCACAAGTTTTTCTAACCATTTGAAAAAAATATTTACATACCTCATAGGAGTAATTCATTGTTTCTTCATCCACTTTATCTCTTTGAACGATTGCTTTAGATGTGAACCCTCCTCCTTCTTCATCTATTTCCATCAAATTGTCAGTAAAATCTTCTAAGTCATCCAGAACCGCATATTCCACTCTCTTTTCCTGATCAATATCATTTTCATCATCTTTTTTGTCATCATTTTCACCCCCTACCCCTGCTGTTTTACCATTACTACCACCAAAAGGACAAGCATGCACATCCCCATTGACATTATTAACACTCAAATCTGTATCTGCTTTATAATCTTGCTCAGCTCCAGTGTACAGAACTTTCCTGTCTTTGCTTCTGCAGCTTTCTGTAAAGCTAACACTAATCTTTACATCTTTAAGTAACTTAAGATCAGGGGTGAACTTCCGACCTGAAGGTGCATGACGAGCAGTTCTTGGGCTTTGGTCACTATTGCTAGGGTCTATTATAAGACGACTTTTGTAGCAGGCAGATCCCTTTGTGAGAAGCTGTGTTCTGCAGATACTGTGCGCGTCCCCAGCAGGGGTATCTGACTGTCCATCACCACCAGAGCCAACGTCCATTACCTCTGCGTCACTGGACGTTTGCAGGGGAGGTGGTGGAGGCTGTTCATTAGGCGGCAAAGGTGGGGGACAAGTCTGGTTCTCCACATTCATTTCTCTTGCAGGTTCTTTAGGGAGGGGAGGTGCATTTTCATATTTCTCCATATTTAAAACTGTAAAACTACTGCTTTAAAAAACAAGACTTTAAATAAATGTATATAATCTCTATTCCTGACATGCACAAGTCCATCAAGACAGGCTTATGTTCTATTCAATATGCAACACTGATGATTCAGTTAAGCTGACTACATTGTTCTTTTCATTAATGTAGACAGCTTTCAGAATCACTGTCTCAATTATTGGAAATCACAATGCATTCAGCTTAAATAGCTGAAGACTAAGTAGACAGCATCTTCACTGGACAAGGTGGTCTCCTTTTCTTCTTTCAACCTACAAAAAGAAAAAGGTATTTGTCACAGAAAAGCCCAGAAAGCCAAGTGTCCCATCCATCAGAGGTAACAAAGTCTTCTCAAGGTTTTGCTGGAAAGGACACATTTCTATGTGAAGCCCCAACCAACTGTAATATTCTTACCAGCATGGAGAGAGATTTTTTTCTACCACAGCAGAAGTATCTTTTTATTTTGAATTATGCCCAAATATAGTGACTTTCACTAATGCTTTGTGCATCAGCTTAACTCCAGTAACACCACTTGGCAACTATCAGTATATGCTCATTGTTTTTAAATGGAGAGACAAAAAAACAGGTTGGTTAGTTGTTTTAAATCTCCTAACCTAAAGAATTAACACCACTCTGTTTTCATGTTCTACATTAGGTTGCAGTGTAAAAGCAGGTCTTAAAAGGTACACTAGATCAGTGATTCTCAACCTTTTTCCTACTGGATCCCATTTGCAAAGAATCATGACCTGTCCCAACTCCGCCCCACCCCCCACCCTGCTGGTGCATGACCTAGTCCCCAGTTCCCTCTTGCCCCCACCCCAGGCCATGCTGGTGCCCTCACTCCTGACCCACCATGCCTGCACCCCCAGCCCTGCCAGTGCCCCTCATTCCTGACCCTGCACTCCCTGCCCCGCCACCTCCCAGCTCTGCCAGAGAGGCCCCCAGCTGCCCCTGTCCTGAAGCCGGAGTGCAGTGGCTGCGGCAGCTCTGGCTCATGTCAGTGGCAGAGAAGTGAGCTGAAGGGAGGACAGGAGGACTGTGGCAGCCTCCACCCTGGGCCGGCAGCCTGGTCACAACCCATTCTGCCCCCTGAGCATGGTCTCCTGGCTATCCCATCCCCGCGAGCACTCAGCCCAGCCTTGCAGCTCTCCCCCACCCCTTTCCCCCAGCCACTCTGCCCTGTTGCAGTCTTCGTGCTTTCCTGGGGTCAGCATTTCTCAACCTGTGGCTTGCAACCCTCCAAAGTCTTCTTGCAATCCACTTTTGGACTGGGATTCATGGGTTGAGAAACACTGTACTAGATTATTCTCTTCAGAATTAAATTCATTATAATCTTCTGGTGGGCAGACTAACAGCATGAACTTATTTGTCAGGTAACAGTAGCAAAAAAATTTACCCACTACTAGAAAGTCAAAAGATATTTCTGAAAGTGGGGGGAATTCTACCAAGTGTGATGATATACCCATTATTAGCATAAATCTCTTGAATTTCTTACAGGTGGCAGACATAAAATCTATATCTATTGTTAAACTGAAGTCTTGCAATCATTGTTATTATTTTGAACAGCATCCACAAATTGAAGTTTTACCAGCACTTTGGGCTGGCACACACATTCAAACTACTCTATGTAACATTACAACTGTTACATCAAGTATACCCACTATTACTGTGCTTCCTGTACGATTCTGATTGTTTTTAACATTATATTTTAATTGGCTGTGCAGGACCATGAGCACCCAGCAAACAGATGAGTACACTCTTTCTTACCTGGTAATTTTGGTCTCTCCAAGTCCCTCTGTGCCACCCCAAACTGAGTGCAAGTCTTCCTACCAGTAGGGAATAAAGCAGTGTTACTCTGCTTAAGAGGGAGTTGGCTGGATGAATTTGCTCCATTCAAAAAGTTTCCAGGCAGTAAAGAAATTCTACCCATTCCAGAAGAATAAAACTTAGTTCCTAAAGCCATCCCTCAACATTTGGAGAAAAGAGGGCAAGATGTCTGGGCTGTCATAAGGAGACTTAGAGAAACCAATCAGAATTTTCTAACGTGCCTTGTATGGACTTTAACAGCAGTACCCACAAACAGATAGTTAAAACAGTTAACATTTACAACACATCGATCCTATCCATCCATCTGATGATAGATGAAAAAATTGTAAGACATGTAGGAAACAAACCTTGTGTGACTTTTCAGCTAAGCCACAAATATGACTTAAATAATGGAAACTGAAATATACAGCATCAGAATGAAGCCCTATGAGACACACAAAGCAAAAAAAAATTCTATTACCTGTTCTAAAATAACCCCATCTTCTCTGGATGGGAATCTATTTTGCTTCTGGAGAGAGGAACAACTGTTGCTCGGCCCCTCAAGGAGCTTCTAAGTTTTTACCCATCCCATTACAAAAGACACTAAGAAGTTTATGTTAGGTGACCCAACCCCCTATTTTTTCGACAAAAAGCTTGTACATGACAAGAAACTCTACACATTTGAAGTTCTGTAGAATACAGCTTTTCTGAAAGCCCCTTTCTTGTCCAATAAGGGCCAGAATGAAAAACAGACCAAATCAGTGGCACCCAACCTTTCTGCCAAGAGAACAATTCTTGCAGAAAAAGAGGAAGTTTTTGTCTGTCACCCTCTAGATTCCACAAAGATCCCCAACTGGTAACCTTACTTCTTTCCCCAACAGGACCATACTAACCAAATCTACATAAAGGTGATTAAAGGTCACCTGGAAAACACTACGGAACTGTTGTCAGATGGAAGCAAAGCACATTGGACACCCAGATTAATAAACAGAAGCTATTTTGAATGAACTGGAAAGAATATGAGTGTGTAGCTAGGTGTTCTGTCGATCACCAAGATGCAGAATTCTGCTGAATGAACTGAATGAGACTGCCACACCTCCCTCTGGAAGGGCAGCATTCAGGAAAAGGAATTCACTCTCGCTACAGGAAAACATGATAGAACATTAGTTAGAAATACAGCAAGGGCTTCACAATACACAAGACTTTTAACTTAAGTTCACCTTCTTTTGGAGCACATCCTCTGAAGAAGAGAGATTCAGGTCACCATATAAGGCAAAATAAATTATTTGTCACCCAAATAAGTTATGGGTTACACCATGTAGGGGTCCTATCAAAAGCAACACTCTGGATGATCTCTACCAAGAGAATAATTGGGGGTAACAGGAGAGAAAAATGTCTTATCCTGAAAACAGTCAGATAAGGTAAAACAGAAACTGGAGAACAGGGCCATCTCTTCTGAAGACTGTAGTAAAGGAACAGAAACCCCCAAATCAGACTGTCATGTGCAGATTTACCTGAGCCCTGAAGAGAATCCCTTCACAAAAAAAGTAGGTGAATAGCAGTTGCACAACCAAATTCAACAGATGAATGACACAGCTACAAACATCCACCAGGCTACAGCAAAGCTAGTTGTGTGCACAAGCAGGTTTTAATTCATAAAAATGCATTACTGCATAGAATAACTCCTTTTCAGGTCTGCTTCAGTCTTCATTGGTATCTGCACCACAACAACGAAATAACCACAGTAGGCACTTACACAGCACGACCTGCGCTTTCTGGTCCATTTAGTCTTTATGGTGCGAAACCCGGTCAACTGAAATAATCTAACAAACAAACAGCACCTGCTGACATTTTGAAGCTACCAGGACCCAGGAGAACCATATCACAGTTTTCCTTCAGAGCTACAGACAGTCTAAACTTCAGAAAATAAGTTCCTTGTTTGAAACTGCCCTAAATATACAGGCAGCTAAAAACAATTTCAACCCTGTCGCGTAACTATTCAGATTAGGATTCTACTGGACCTTTATCTCTTGCTTCAGAAAGCTACCTTTTAAAATAAAACTTCAGACTGCTTTACAATCGATCTTAAAAAGGGGGAAAAAAACAAAAACAACCCCACGGTACAAATCCTACAGACTACATGCCTTCCACAACACATTCCTCATTCTCTGCTATCTTCATGTCCTCCCCATCAGCCATGTCTACTTGAAGACACCGCCCTACAGAGAGACGTACCCAAAGCAATTACCAAGGGGAGGATGACAAAAATCACAAAACGCCAAGTTGCTGGGACGTCTCTAAAAACCCAACCGCAAAGAATGTGAGTCGGAGCCAAAAGACCATGGCCCTACCTCACGGGAAGAGAGCGAAATAAAAAAGTTTTAAAAAATGAAAGCCTGTACTCCATCTTGTGGGTCTAATAAAAGGTATCATCTCTACTGTGAGTCCCAACTGCCTTTTCCTCAAGACCAAGACAGCTACAACCAGGATACCTGCACACTCCAGACTTGCCTTTTTGAGAGGAATAGATGAAAACAGAAAATATGCTTTTCACCCCCTCGTCCAAAACACATCTAGGTTTGTAGCCGGATACACATGTCTAGAGGTCGGAGGCAGAACCAGAGCAGACCCCCCGCCACCCCTCCAGGAGGGGACGATCCTCACAGCGCTGCCCGTTCCCGTCTCCACCCCAGGTTAGCCAGACCCGCGCCCGCTGCTCGCACTGCCAAAAAGGGGCCATAGAGCACGTTAGCCGGACATGCCCGTGACGTCATCACACTGCGACAGAAGCCGGGCGGCAAAGGCCGTTATTGGACCAGGTACGAGACTCGCTCATTTTCCAGCGGGGATGGAGGGCTCCAGGGGGTGACAGGGGGAAGGAAAGCAGGGGGACAACCGGGGGCAACACGACTGGGGGCAGATCCGGTGAAAAATCCTGTTAGCCCCACGGTTGGGGGGGGGCGGGGGAAGCTGCAGGGAAGTGCTCTCCATGCACCGAAACTGGAGAAGTTTCCGGAGGAGGGAAGGCGGATCTGGAGGGGCCTACACGACCACAGCCCGGAGGGAAGCGGGAGCCGGGCCTAGGCGAGGAGGGGACGGCAGGGCGGAGCACACAGGCCCACGCCCCGCACTGCCCTGGGGTTGTATCGGGCAGGCCGCTCGCTCGCACTCGGCGCACCCACCTGGGCCATCCCCGGGCCGAGGGGTAGGGAGCGCGGCCGCCGCCGCTGGCTCCTCACGGGAACCGCCTCCCCCAGGCCGCCGCTACCGCCGCCATCTTTAAACGCCTGCTCCGAGCGGCTCCTGCTGCCGCGGGCGGGACTCACCGTATGCGGAGCCAATGGCGGCGCCGCCCGCGCTTGTCCGTCACCTCCCGCCTCACGCGCAATGGGCCCATTCGGGGGCAAAGCCAGCCAATAAGGCGCCGGGCGGGATACGCCCTGAGGGAATGGGCCAATGGAAGGAGGGCGGAGGCGGGATGTCTTCGTAGTGCTCAGGGGCGGAGCCTTCCAGGGCCTGCTGCTGAGTGCAGCCAGGGACCAGCCCGTGAGCTGTCCTCAGCCCGGGGAGACCCTGCCTGGGGGCAGAGGTGGCTGCTGCACGGCCGTGAGCAGGGCCTGACCGGGTGGGGCTGCGCCTGGGCCTCTGCTCCTCTCCCGACTCCAGCTTTTCTAGGGGAAGAAGTTCTGGTTCAGAGGCAGTGCCCTCACCCCCATGCTCCATCACAGTGGATACCCGGTTCCACCCAAAACATACTCCATCCCTCGTTGAACCGGGGCTTCCCCCACGCCTGGCGACAGCGAGTCCCACCTGGGCATGACTTGGCGCCAACAAGAACTGCTTTGTGTTCGTTTTAAGCTTCCTCCCAGCTTGTTTCATCGGATGACCTCCTACTTGTCTTGTGCAAGACAGTAAATCGTGAAGGCCTGGGGGCTTTCTCTTCACTGCCGCGTACTTTATAAAACCATGGCGTACCCCCCCACCCTTTTAAATTGAGCAGACCTAGCCTCTTTAGTCTCATTGGGAGACTGCACCACCACAGCTGCCCCTGGCTGTTAAACAGGGTTTTTAAAATTATTTTTGAAGCTCGGGACGGGTAGGGAGAGCTATGGCCGAGACCCTAAGCAGAAGCAGAAGCAGAATAAGTCTCCTCTAGAAGAGCGGGTCCCAAATGCTGACAGATTGCATGCCACCAATTTAAAATGGTACAATCTTAAGTACCACCAGCACATTTTTGTCATATAAAGTAATTATGATTAATCTGTTATCGTGTACCACCGGCAGGTTGTCCGCATACTACTGGTGGTGCCCATACCACAGATTGGGAACTGCTGCCCTAGAGCATATGAAGTGCTATTCTGAGCCAAAACAACAGTCCATCTAGCCCCCTATCCCATCCACGACAGTGGCAAAGGTAGATAGTAGAGGAAGACTGTTGAATTGGATACATCTACAGTGATCTATCCCTTACCTATTATCCTCCGTGGGATCCATCATTATTAGCGATTCCAGAGGGAACATCTCCAACTCTTCGGTGCAACAACTTTGAATACATCTATCATTTATGAATGTCAGTCCCTTTTTGAACCTGGCTGTACTACCTGCCTCTACCACCTCTTTGTGGCAAGGTTAACTACATTGTCACAGGAAGTGGTAGAGATAACATTAACTACTCCTTCCACAAGTTAACTACACATTGCTTTAAAAAGAACTTTTTCTTGCTAGTTTTAAACCTGTGTCCTTCTAATTTCAGGAGGTGGCCCCTAGATCTAGTATTCTGGGACTTTGTTTCCCACTGTTCCATGAATCCTCTTGTATTGATGCTAAGCTGCATGTATCAGCCTGTAGGATCCTCAGAGACCTGTAGCTTCTAGTACACATTTTGTTTAACCGTTATGTGTACCTTTACAAATTGGCTTAATCTGTGTGCATAGCCAACATCCATTAATGCATGTTTAGTGTGTTGCTTTTTTTACCCTCCTCCACTACTTCTGCTCATTTCATCTGTGGCTTTTTATCACATATTAGTAAATTAGATTATAAACTCTTTAGGGCAGGAGCCATCTTTCAGACCTGTATTTGTTGGTCATCTGGCAATTGAGCTTGAACTTGACTGTGGCTTTTAGGTAATATTACATCAAAAAAGTCATCTCACACATTTGTTTTAGGCAAATAATAATTAGATGGTAAATGAACACCATTATGCTCCTTTTTATCATCATTTTTAAATTGGGTACTGCATGTTTCTTCTCTCATGTGTTTGTATTTGTTGTATCACCTTACAATAACTTTACTTTGAGACACTAAAAGCAGAGCTGCTATTTTTTTGATTTGTCGTCACATCATAGTGATCTTACATCAGTTCCAGGATTAAATTTCATGTGATAACTGCATTCGAAGGTAATCACCCTGATGCAATCTGATGATCTGATGGCAGTCCCATAAACAATTTCACAACCTGTGAGCATCTCTCAGGCAACTCTCAGGATAGGTGTAAGGTTCCTAAAGATACTATTATGAATACTAAATTATAACCTTCAATTTATCCTTCCTGTATTAGATTTTAAATTCCTAAATTTCTCTCTCTGGAGTGATATCTGGCATAGGGGGTGGGTAACTGGAGGAAGTTACTTATACCAAAATGTGAATGGGTGCTGAGATTTGGCAAAAAGTTTGCTTTTAAGGGTGACATGCAGGGAAGCAGGAGTGGGTGGGGTGGCATTTTCTATTTTTGGGGTGTTATTTAGGAAATTTACTGTTGTCATTTAGCATAAACTGCTCTGATCCTTTCTGGATAGAATAGGATATAAATTAACAACAAAAGCAATAATCTAATAGTGTAGCAGTTATGTGGACAAAAATGTCTTGCTGCTACATTGATATTACAATGTAATGCAATTACATGATGCAACATCTTGATATCATGTCAAAACATCACCACATTGCAATGAACACATTCACATAATGGCATTTTATGTAATGCACCAAAATTATTTCATGTTACTATGTATTTACCAAAGTATTGAGGTCAGGATGAAATCAAGACATTAATGGAAATAGCCAAAGGAAGGCTTTCAGGGAAAGGTATGATTTGCTTTCTTTTCAGAGCCCAAGATTAAGATGTGATGTTGCAACCCAGTATGCACTGAATCATGACTCAGATACCACAGCTTCCCACCAAAACTTGGACATGCCCTGAAAACTTTTCTTCTTCTCTCTTCATTTTTGTGCTAAATGCTGACTTGGCTGTTTACAAGTTTTTTTAAAAAAATAAAAAAAAAGAAAGAAACAAAAAAATTTTTTTTTGAGAACTCACTTGACTCCCTGTGTAATTGTTATTGTAGAGTTCCATGGTAGATGTGACACCCTGTTATTGATATCCTTTTGAAGAGCAAAACAAACCTGAAAAAGGCAAAAAGTTTCATTACATAGAACTCTCTTCTATACCTGGCTCTTGGGTGCATTTGATGCGACAGTGCAGTTACTGAAATTTGGTATAGTTTCAGGCTGTCTTTAAAACCAAAGCCAAATTTCCAAAGCTGTTTATTCAGCACACTATTTTTGCATACAAATGTGTTATCTTAGCATGGTTCTGATTCATAAGGGGTAAGTATTATAAGAACTGGTTTTGATTTCTGAGAATCATATTTTGACTTTCAGGCTTTCAAACACACGCAGTTGCATTCTTTTGCACTACAAAACTTTGCACTATAATGCTGTATAAGGATTATGCTGTGTGTAATACATTTTAAGCTTAATAACCTTTTGAAAGAAATAAGTTCCTCATTATAGAGAGATCTGAATGGAATATACTTGCAGGCCAAGTGCCTTACCCAAGGTCATACATCAAGTCTGTCAGAACCAGGAAAAGTACTAAGGATTTCTGAGCCCAAACCTGTTCTCCAAATACTAGATTAATCATACCCTTTTCAAAACAAATGATCAAACCTACTCAAGAAAGGAGGGAACATGAAACAGGATTCTTTATTACATTTCGCTTTTAAATGTGGCTAGTTCATTCTGTAGTTGCTTTTTCCATCTTTCTTATTTTCCAAGTCTATGTTAATTGAATTTCTTGAGCTTTCAGCCTGACTAGATTAATGAAGGAAAACTAACAGTCTTCTATATTCAGATACAAAAGGCAAAACATCCATCACGTCTTGGCGTGGAGCTAAGTGTTACACAGTCATAAACAAGTATTCAATACTTGCCGAGTTTACAAAACAAACCAGGCCGTGTACAATAATACAAGGAAGACAATCTTTACAATATAGCCTTCATAGTACACTCAAAATGGCACAGGAGGAATAAATTAATTTACTTTCAACAATGCTTGCTCTCACTCTCTGCATTAGATGCATACATCCTGAAGAGGAATTAAAGGTTCCTTTCTCCTTCCTACCTGCCTTGGCTATAAAAGGCAGTAACTACTATTAAAATACAAGGATGTTTGGCAGCAGCAACCTGACTTGGTTCATAAAGGCAAACCCACAAATCAATGTACATCTGTCCATGTGGGGAGTGAGAAGCCTCCTAACACAACTTCTCTCTTGTCACTGGTCCATTGGGTTTATTTGAGCATTGTTATAAACTAAAATATTGGGAGGGGAAAAAAAACCCAGAAGATGAATTATCAAAATCCAGCACTGAGGAAACAAACTATTGGAAGCTAAACCACGATTACGCTTTTTGCCTCAGATACAAACCTTGGGCGACTTAACAAATCAAACTAGCACTAAAAAGCTAAAATACAAGATCTGTTCGTATTCATCTTATTTTCATATAGAGAGGACCATCTCCTGTTGTGACTTCTGTAACTATTCACAGAAGCCATCACATTTCCTAGGCAATTCCAACAGAAGAGAGAAAAATATGTAGGACTGAGGCTAAGACTGGCCATTTACCTGCAAGAAGACTACTTGCTGCAACTCTGCAAGGCAACATTAACATAAATAAAATAGCAGACATTATAGTATTTATCTTGACTCATCTTCAAGAGATCTGATCCACTCATACTTACTGCCTTAAATCTAAACCAGGTCAGAAATAACTGAAGAGTACAGCCATCTGATGATTGTGTGATAATAACCTAATTGAAGTCTGAATACACCTTTCATTCAGCTCCTAGTGAAAAAGGATCTGCTTAAATATTACCATCATCGCTGCTGTAACTGGCAGCCTCAGAAGAGAGGTCTAGAATTAAGTGGGCTGTGCAAAGTGAACGACCGTTCTTACCTCTTCAGGGTAGCTGCCTAGATCCTACTACTTAACAGAGTGTCTGCGT